TACAGCGGGTGCGGTAAAACATCCCATTTGAGCGTTTCCAAATATTTTTTACGACTTTTGTGACATGAGGCCGAGCGTTGTCATGAAGAAGAATAACTTTATCATGTCTTTGCTCGTATTCCGGCCGTTTTTCTCGCAATTCACGGCTCAAACGAACCAATTGAAGCCGATACCGATCGCCCGTAATGGAATCGCCAGGTTTCAGCAGCTCATAGTAAACAACACCCTTTTGGTCCCACCAGATACAGAGCATGATCTTCGAACCATGAATGTTCGGCTTTGGTGTTGATGTTGAGGTCGATGGCAACGATTGACCGGGCTTAGCGTAGTATTTTTTCCTCTTGGGGTTGTCGTAGAATATCCACTTTTCATCTCCAGTCACAATCCGATGCAAAAAACCTTTTCTTTGTTGCCTTTAAATCAGCAGCTCGCAAGTGAAAAATCGCCTTTCAACGTCTCTCGGTTTGAGTTTATAAGGCACCCAATTTCCTTGTTTTTGTATCATTCCCATGGCTCTCAATCGTACAGAAACGGCTTGTTGAGTTACTCCCAATGATCCTGCAAGCTCCTCTTGCGTTTGACTCTGATCTTCTTCGAGTAATGCCTCTAATTCTTTGTCTTCGAATTTTTTTGGCTGTCCAAAGCGAGGCTTGTCTTCAACGCTGAAATCTCCATCCTTGAAACGTCGAAACCATCCCCTACATGATTTATCAGTTGCAGCAGTGTCACCATAAACTTCGACAAGCATTCGATGGGCTTCAGCTGCACTTTTCTTCCAATTAAAGCAGAAATTAAAACCTCCCGCAAATGCTGCTTGGTTAGCACAAAATTCGACATTTCGAACACAGTAAAAATCAAGGTTTTTGTATGTAACTCAAAGCGATATAAACTGAATATTATTAGCAGATGTCTAACCTCTCTGAAACCGCCAAAATCAGCTGTCACTATGAACCATTCACAACAGTTAGAGTTATTTTTTGGAAAACGGACCGAACTAATTTGTACACCTAATAATTTTTTGAAGATTTCACAATTAAAATTTTAATAAAACAGATGTATAACGAATGTAACGTAACCTATAACAAAAATATATAAATAATATATAAATTTTAAAGAACTGCGAAGACAGTTATCGACTGCTATAGCGGAGTGTTATTTTTACAAATGCTGGCCATCACTCTCCTGCTGTGTTTTGAAAGTTTTCAGATGTACACGGTAAGTGTTACAGTAAAATAACTTGTTTTAGAATAGAAAAATTGAACATACTGGACTGATTAGAAATTCCATCGAATATAACAATAAAATTTATTGCGAAAATGCGAAGGAACTTTCTAATCAACTCAATATCTTACAATTAGAATTAGTAATGACATTTTTTCATTATAATATTTTAGTACGTTACATTAAAATTTTATGATCAAATTTACTACTATATGCAACGGATATTTGAATTAATTAAAAAAACGTTATTTTAGATAATAACAGACCATGCCTCGAATACGCCTGTTATCAAAATAGTTTTTTTATTTTTTTACGTCGGTTGTGTGTTAACACAATTCTACAATTATTGTTACTCGGGTGAAAAACTTATAACGAAGGTAAAATATTGATGTTCATTAACGAGGAAAAAATGTGGAACAAAATGTTATTTTCAGAGCACTAAAATGGCAGACGGCGTGTATAAATGCAAGTGGTACGATCTGCTATCGGAAAACGCAAGACCTAATGCTCATCGTATATCGATCTAAAATTCCACTTCAATTAACAGCTGGAAAATTTGGAGTCTTTTCAATGCAGATGTTTGGAATAGTAAGATATCTATATAGAGAACAATATTACTATAATTATTGTGAACAAATCGATTTCTGTAATTGTGAGAATGTGTATGTGTTCGTGTGGAAAACTAAATTAAATGTTTAATTTTTACTTTTTTAGACACTAAAGACATCGATAGCATATTTATCTACATTGCTTACAATAAAAGACTAGAAATGAAATAATTTTGGAATCAGAACAGGATTCTGCATAATTGATTACTATTCGTTTTCAGATAATTATATAACAAAGTTTACATATGCGCCATATTTGAATAATACAATTTTTACTACACAAATATACATTTCTGTGTAGCAAAGCAAGCTATTTATTAGTTTCTGTTTGATAATGTCATGAAAAGTTTTTTGGAAAAGTAACGAGTAAAAATGAAAGAAAATTATCTCGTCGGTCGTTGCGCTGACAACATTCGTACAGAATCGATGATTTGATCTATACATTCGCGTTTTCGTCTTTTTTGCGGAAATAATTTGCCTCCTAAAAGAGATGTCCGTAACATTCTTTAACTCGAAAATGGCACTGTAGTTAAATTAATGACGTTTGCACGCACTTACAGAATCCAGTCTGACGCAATGGTTCAGATGTTAAATCACTTCGAAAAGGATAAAAACTATAGAACTATGAAATTTTATTTCGGTTGCTAGTTGTACACATCCAAAATATACTACTGTTTTAGCTGCGTTAGCAGATAAATATTAGCAATGTTTTTTTTTTATATGTAGTGATGCAATGATAATTTTATTTAATACGTACTTATATTTGTACTTTGAACGATTCAGTATCGTATTTTGCAGAAAGAATATAAGTTTGGCATTAGATAAAAGTTGTTTTAACTTTCCGTCTGTATTGTTTCCATCTTGTTTTCTAATACCTCCTTGATGTATTCAGTTTTCATATTATTTTATATTATTTACCTGCATAATCTTCACATTCTTTTCGAATAACTTGCTCCACATAAAAAATATAATATATTGTAATTCGACGCTGAAAATAAGAAAGAAGATGACAATATTACACGTGAGTTTTCCTGATATAACACTAAAATCATATCACATTAGCTTTGGAAATGTAATTATTTTTGTCTTTTTGTAGACATACGATATTATGTTTGTAAGTAAAAAAATTAATTTTTTCACAATATATCTACAATCTTTGAATATAATTTCGTTTCGTTTCATTGCCATCTTTTTACAACTTTCCAGGAACCACTAAACTGAGAAGTCACTGTTAACTAAATATTCTCATCGAACAAAAGGTTTGCTTATGGCAGAAAGGCAGCTGTTGTATTCACTTCGTAATTTAGCCTAAGATAATTACATCTTTAGTCACATCGCTATCGATTCTTGACCAAAAAAGTGTAAAGAAGAACTAACAGATGGTAGAGCGGTAAACCCTTCGTGTACGGAGCAAGCGCAAATACGACGGATTGCTATAATCGCCAAGAAACGATTCAGTCAAACAGTTTCCATCCCAAAAACTTCAATGAATGTGAACAAAGGTAGAATATATAATATATATATATATATATATATATATATCGGAAAATTATCAAAAAAATGTACACCGTGGTATTCTAATAATTAGATTATGTGAAATTTGTGATATACAAAAAAGTGTTAAAATCAATTTTTCAATTACATAAGTGCGTCAGTTAAAAGTTTTTCTTGCAGTTTGAATATTGTGATACATCAATAAAATAATAATTAATTGCAGCTAAATTATTAATTGCAAGATAGCAAGAAAATACAATAATAAGAGATCATAAAATTGCGAAATAATTTGCTTTACGAGGCGTCATTTTTGACATAAAGAATTAAATTGTGTCCTCACATAAAGAATTAAATTGTGTCCTTATTTTAATTTCATAATAGTTGCGCTGTTTTACATTATGTTACACTTTACGCATTTTCTTAAAGTTAAAAATATTTGATAAAATACCTGTGTATTGTTCATTATATGTAAAATGTTATTCAATCATTCAGTAATATATTAATCATCAAAGAACAAGTGATGCATTATATAATAACGATTGCATAACACAAAACTGTTTATTGGATAAAAAAGTTTGCTTTCATTAATTGCCAAAGTTCGCAACAACCATATTTTGCTACAAGCAAACTATAGATGTTTCATCAAAAAAACTTCATATTCGACGAAAGTTTCTACGAAAGTCGCATTAAGCTATGTACGGTAACAAAAAATATTCGCTTTCGACGTATAAAGTGAAAACAACTGGTAATGTTTTTCAATGGCAAACTTGAGTATAGTATACTAAAAATAAAGCAGTTCCGTTGGTGCAAAATCGTTCTTTGTCTTCATCTAACGCAAACAGATTTCTTCAAAACTACAAACACCAAAACCCTAAAAAATAATTAAAGTGACATTTTAATTAATGCAAATTAATTATAGAAATTGTTTTAATAAATCTTGCTTTTAACAATATTTTTTGTTCAATTTGACTTTCTTAGATATGAATTATGCGTTTGCTCTGAGTCGCAAATGTTTATGGCTAATAGGTGTGTGGCCCGATCCACAAATCTCTTTGAGTGATTTTCGTCGACGAAATATACGAGTCGTATTTGTGGCATGTTGTTTGAGCTTCTACTTGATATTACCACAAGTGAGAAATATGATTCGGAATTGGGGTAATGTCCCTCGCATGGTGGAACAGTTTCTTTCTGTGAATTATGGTTTAATGGCACTATTCAAGTTGATCACTACTTTCTATTATGGTGAAAGTAAGTTGCTATTTGAAATTATAAACATATAAAATATATTTATGTATTTAAATTAAAATATTTTCATATTTACATTTAAATAAAATAAATGTTAAGATTTTTAAGTGTCTGAAACTATATGTGTGCAATATATTATTCAACAATATTTTTATATGAGAATAATTTCTTTTCTAAATATTTGTAATAAATATTTGTAAACTAATATTTAAATATTTGTAAACTAATACATTATATTCTAATTTGGAAGCACTTCGAACACTGATGACATCGGTCATGAATGATTGGCTAACTTCGAAAAGCGACTGGGAACGAAGTACAATGTTAAAGATTGCGAAACGCGGAAGAAGTTTATCTTTAAAATGTTACTTTCTTTTAACATGCGGAATTTTGTCTCACGTAACGATCTGTTTTATAAAGTTTCGACGAAGCATGCATCAACCTCATCGGATCCTCGTCTATCAATTCAATTATCCTTACAACAGTCAAAAGAGTCCGAACTACGAAATTACCTTTTTCATACAACTTTGTGGTAGCATATTCGCGGCTCTAACTAACTGTACTGTCGACAGCTTCGTTTCGATATTCTTGCTACACGTGTGCGCACAACTGATAAATCTACGGGTAGCGCTTAATAACACAATTGACGAATTAGCCAATAGAACCATGTCCACTTCGAGATTTAAAGAAGGTTTAGCTACGATTGTTTTACGACACGAACATCTCATTAAGTACGTATATGTATATATTTAAGTATCTAAAACAAATTACTGGAAATATTCAAAAATTAATTTCAGTATCTGTTTCATATATACGAGAACAAATATGTACAATATTATCTAAGCACAAATTTTTCTTAATAAAAACGCTTAAAGATTTGCACGTCATAATTTTGATAAAATAGATATTGCGTAACAATTAAATAATACATAAATTTTTAAGAAATGCCAAGACAATTAACGACTGCTATAGCAAAGTGTTATTTCAACAAATGCTAGCCACTACTTTTCAGCTGTGTTTTCAGAGTTTTCAGATTTACACGGTAAGTATAACGATAAAATAACTTGTTTGTTCTTATTTTATAGTAGAAGAATTGAACGTATTGGACTGATCAGAAAATTCCATCGGATATAACAATAAATTGTTTCAAAAATGCGAAGAAACTTTCTGATTAACCCAATATCTTAGAAATTGTAATGACGTTTTTCCATTGTAACATTTTAGTTGTAACATTGCACTAAAATTTTATGATAAAATTCACTATTATATGCAACGGAAATATTTGAATTAATTAAGAAACGTTACTTTTAGATAATAACAGACCATACTTCAAAGATACCTATTATCAAAATGGCTTTTCTATTTTTTTATACCGGCATTGTGTTAACACCCTTCTACATTTATTGTTATACGGCTGAAAAACTTTTTACAGAGGTAAAATATTTATGTACATTAACGAGGAAAATGTGGAACAAAAATGTTATTTTCAGAGCATCAATATGGCGTACGGCGTGTATCAATGCAATTGGTACGATTTGCCATCGAAAAACGCAAAGGATTTAATGATTATCGTACATCGATCTAGAATTCCGCTTAAATTAACAGCTGAAAGTTTTGGAGTTTTTTCAATGGAGTTGTTTGGAAATGTAAAAGATATCTATTTAAAAAATAATATGTTTTAACTATTATGTTGTAATAATTATCAATTTATTTAATTTTGATTGTGTGCAAATGTGCTCGTGTGGAAAACTAAATTTTATTTTTAATTTTTACTTTTTCAGACAATAAAGACATCGATGGGATATTTATCTGCATTGCTTGCAATGAAAGACTAACGAGGAAATAAAATGGGGAGTAGTACAAAATTCCACATAAACGACTAGTATTTGTTTTCGAATAATTAGATAAATAGGTTTACATACGCTGTTTGTAATATAATTTTTATTAATCAAATATACATTTCTGCGTAGCTAAGCAAGTTATTTATTACTTTCTATTTGTTAGTATTATGAAGGAATTTTTCAAGAAAAAAATGAGTAAAAGTTAACAACAAATATCTCATCAGTCATTACGCCATCGACATCTGTCAAGCATCGACCAACGCTGATCGAACAATAAAATATATAGACATTCATATACTTGTGTAAATCGTTAATACACAACAAAATTGACATCTACAAACGTTTTACATATCTAACACGTCAGTCAAATGCTGCCGAAAAAAGTTTATTAAATAAATAATTTACTAAACAGTTTGCAAAATATACAGGTATGTTGCGTATGGTTTAAAACCAATAAAATAATTATAGTATAGTACGTTAAAAATTATAACAATAAATTATTATGATATTGCAGCAACTTTCTCTATTGAATTGATAGTGAATTGCAATTGGTGTAGCAAAATAAAAAGAAAATTTTTCATAATTGCACATCCATAAGTTATATGTGAGTAAAATAAATACATTTATTACTATAGAATAAAATAATTTACTTTCTAAATAATAAATACCTAAATGATTAATTAACTCAGCGCTCGGAATTAGGAGTTTTGGAGTTTTTTCAATGGAGTTGTTTGGAAATGTAAGATATCTATTTAAGGAGGATCTCAGGAACGTTTTATATTAGAAATAGGCTGGGTTGTTTAGACATCTCTCAGGAAATCGTAACATTTCCTTCGCTACATATATAATGTTTATTTTCATTAATACATAATATATATATATTTAATTATTAATGAAAATAAACATTATTTATGTAACGAAGAAAATAGTTACGATTTCCTGAGAGATGCCTCAACAACCCAGCCTATTTCTTATATCAAACGCTCCTGAACCAAAGCTATCGGCGGCTCGACCGCCAGCGGTCGAGCGGTAGTGGGGGAACAAGAAGCATCGTCTTGGGAATCGGCCCGAAATGTGCAACTAATTTCGAGCGCTGAATTAACTGAATGGTGCTCTGCCGATCACGTAAGCCTGCGCCTCTTTGTCAGTCGTCGCAGTCCTTCAAAGCTCTCGTTTGTGTTGCAAATATAAAAATCGCGCAATATTTTGAATAGTACTGCCAATGCAAACTGTCACTTCACAAAGATATAACACGAATATCATCGCACAAATACGTTCGACACTGTAAGATTCGTAGCAATGAAAAGAAGGAAAATCGAAAATGCGAATAATTAATTTTTGAGCTCGTCGCTGCGATATACTATGTTTGTACTGTGTACTTTAACACGTTTCTGTTTTTTTCACAATAAATACAATGTAACTGCGCTTTGCAATATTTAGAGCTTTGAACAATTTCGATTTATAATATACAAATGTAATAATCGTATAACTTCGTATATATATATATATATATATATATATATATATATATATATATAATAATATA